GACCCTCAAACCCTAAACCCACAACTCTAAACCCTAAACCTTCTAAGCCATTACCCTAAACACAACAGCCTAAAGCCTTTAAACCCTAAACCCTAAACCTGAAAGTTTCATGTTGCTCCTAAGTCGACCGGCGGGACAGCCGCGAGCGAGCTCCGAGGCACTGCGAAGGGGGCTGGAAGGTTTAGGGGTCTAGGGGTTCAGGGCTTAGGGGTTTAAAGTTGTTGGTTTGGGGGTTTAAGGTTTAAGGGTTTAGGGTTTGGGGGTTTAGGGTTTAAGGTTTAGAGTTTAAGGGTTTGTTTGCTTTTGGATTTGGGGTTTGGGGGGTTTTAGAATCTTAGGGTTTTGGGGTCGTAGGATTTTAGGGTCTGTGGTTTTAGGATTTGACGGTTTTGGGGTTTGGGCGTTGAGGCTTCAGGGATTTCATATTTTGTGCTTTTAGGATTGAATGTCCTAGCGTTTTGGGGTTTGGGGGTTAGGAATGTAGGGTTGGGGCTTTATTGTTTACCTGAACCCTACGTTTTGAGAGACATGCCTTTTTTTTGTGTGTGTGTGTGTGTGCATTTATTACACTTCAAAACTTAAGTAGTCAAACGGCTCCGCATATGGTTGAGTCAAGATGAGGGATATTCTTCAACGGAGTCACCTTCTAAAGACCAACGTTCCGCTTGGTTCCTTCAAGGGGAACTTTTTAGTCAGAAGGTCTACACACCCCCAAACTAACATGGAAACCCATATAGTCCCCTTTTAGAAGGGCTGTAGTCTTTTTAGGACCCTGTTTGGGTTTCCATGTTAGTTTCCGGGAGTGTACAACCCCGGGCCGCCTCGCCCTGATCCGAGCTGCGAGTTCGGCGGTATTTTTCAAAGTAAGGTCCCTCCGAAGGTCTCATTGGGATATGTAGAGTTTAGGGATTAGGTCTTGGGATTGAGGTTTAGGGATTCAGGGTTTGGGGATTAGGGTTCAGGCGTTGGGGTTTTGGCTGGTCTCCGGAAACCCTAAACCCTTAAACCCTAAACCCTAAAGCCCTAATGGTGAAGATAGGTAAGGTAAGGTGGCTTTCTGGCACCTTGCCAGGTGTTTGTGGTAGCAAAGAGGCTTGCTTTGGGGTTCCGGGCTTATGGCTGGGACTTACGTTTTGTAGGACGTGGGGCTCAGGGAGAAGGATCCAGGGTCTAATCTTAGCAGGGGAAACCCAAGCTATGGCCAAATATTACTCCATAATCCGGTAGGATTACCACTATAGATAAACCAGTGTTTGTAACATGCCTACCCAGGGCTCAACGTACGGTCGGGGCGTTTTGCGGTTATATGGTGCATCATGCGGGCGGTGTTCTGGTTGAAGTTCCTAACAAGGACCCCTTTGTCATGGAAACAAGGGTAATACCTGGATCCCCACCCCACTCCCCATTAGAGGCAGTTAGGGGTGGGTTGGGGGTTCCTTGAAGGGAGGCCTCATCATTTTCGGGACGATGATCTTCTCTAGTTCTTGATATACCCAGTGGTCACTAAGGGTATACCCGGTGTAGGGCTTTGAGTCACGAGATGGGCCCATAGAGTTGCCAGTGGACCGATTTTGAATAGTTCAACGCGTTCCATACCCTACACCCTAAACCCTATACCCCAAACCCGCTTTCCCAAACCCGATACCCTAAACCCGATACCCGAACTGAAAACCCCATATCCGACACCACGTCTCAAACACTGAGTTGCAGACCCCACCTCCCTGTGCACTTCCATCTCAGGCTAGGAGCCTCGGCCCCCAAATCCCCAAAACATTCACCCCAAAGCCTGGTTTAGGGTTTCGGCTTCCTAAGGGTTGAGGGATTAAAGTTCCTAAGGGTTTAGGGCTTGGGGTTCCTAAGGGTTTAGGGCTTAGTGTTCACAAGGGTTTAGGGTTTAGGGTTTGGGGTTCCTAAGTTATGTCTCCACCCCAAGCCTCTAAAATCCCAACTCCCAGGTACAGCCCACGCCGACCAAGCCCTCCTCCCAAAGACAGAGACAGCCGCGACCGAGGAGGACACTTGACATAAAGAGCTGCAGTACGGTTGAGTAGTATTTGATTTGGGGATACTACAGTACCAAATCTAGAGTAAGATTATGGCCTCCTTTTGGGATATAGTATTTTATATCAGGAATAGAATCTTATTGGGTTCAACCACCGAAAAATTGCTACTCAGTTGAGGATTTAGGGTTTCGGAACACCTCAGGGATCTGTAGGAGCGATAAGGCGGTTGTGGGAATGCTTGCCAGCGATTATGAAGATACTTAGAGAAATAGACATACATATATAGGGCTGTCTGAAGATGACGGAGTCTGCTTGCGAGGGCCCCGGTGGACGAAGACTCTGGCATCCGGGAGGGGGTAGAACGCTTGTTGTGAGAACTGGGCCCGTCTCTGCACCCCCTTGCTGGAAAACTCGGTGTGCACGGACATTTGTCAGACGTTTTGAGGGCTAGCCACAATTTTCACAAGCAGTTATAGATGGTTTCACATCTGTTACTGATGGATGGACTTTCCCCAGAACTGAGTGTCGTCAAGGCGTTGGTCAGGCGTTGTCCTCATTTGAGCTAGAGTAAAAAACTTCTTAAAGGGGGTAAAATAGTGGATTGTAATTATGGGGTAGTATTGTAGGAGTTATTAAGGGGGATAGATAGTAGGAGTTTCGACTATAGCTTATTTGAATGCTCAGCAGCCCATTCTCATTCTCATTCTCGGGTGTTCTACGAATTGGTAACAGTACTCTTCCCCCCCAAACCCTAAACCCCAAACCCTAAACCCTAAACCCTATACCCCGGAGGCCCCTATAAGCTCATGCTCCTAAATCCTAGTCCCTCGGCTCTAGACCCACGTCCCTAACTCCTGTGTTTAGGGATTTGGGTTGGGGGGTTTAGGGTTTAGGGTTTAGGACCCACGTCCCTAACTCCTGTGTTTAGGGATTTGGGTTGGGGGGTTTAAGGTTTAGGGTTCTGTCATTGAGTCGACGTTCGTGCAGGCAAGGGACGCGACTACGACACCTGGCTGCACCAAGACCTTTGAAGGCTGCAGGAGGCAAATTAGTCAGGTTCGGTTTTCGGTTTCCGGGTCATCGACGGTCGTGTTTAAGGCAGACTTTCTTGACTCACTCTTAGTTAAACATGAGGGAATGGGTTGTAGGGACATCATGGGCTATATGAGCTATAGTCT